ATTGCTATGCTATGCTATGCTATGCTATGCTTATCTATCTATCTATCTATCTATCTATCTATCTATCTATCTATCTATCTATCTATCTATCTGGGTGAAATGAGGACCCGGATTGTTGTTGGGGGCGATATGCTGACTCTGTAAACTGCTTAGAGAGGGCTGAAAGCCCTATGAAGCGGCATATAAGTCTAACTGCTATTGCTATTGCTATTCCCACTAGTGTGAGACTTGAGATACGATCCAGCCACCTTATCATGGCGAGGTTGGTATCTTGCCTGCAGCATCGGAGCCACGAAACTTAACTCCCAGAAGGAAACCGCAATCAGAGGGCCGTAGCCGTGCACAATAACACAAAAATGCACAATAACAACATCTGGGGCACCTCCCTGTCATCCAAGCCCCGATGGCAAGCTTGCAAAAGACGCTTCAATCTCTGTATGCACTTTATCAACGTATTGGGAGCACCCATTTGGAAAACTTTTTGGCCCGAAGCAAAGATCTTTAAAACTATAATTCGGAAAAGTAGGGGTGGGGGTGTTTGACGGCAAGTACGTTTGAATACGCAGACATGGATTTTGAACCCTGTTTAAAAACCCGTGGCACAAAATTATGTGTGGCGAACCCAAAAATGTGCCGGGTCGGTTTGTAGTATGGAAAAAAGAAAAATAATAATAATCACTTCCTGTGTTAGTAGCGTTTTGATCTTTCTATGCATGATGGAATGTGTAACGATGCTATTTTATTTCATTTTATTTTTTTAAGTTTCAGGAAAACGGCTGTACATAATGTAATTAGCGTCTACCGATAAACCTTGTTCTGTACATTTAGAACCAAAGGCGTCTCTCCTTGTTTTCGGTCTTCGTGCGGGAAATTTCGAGCTGAAGCCGGGTTCCCACACAACTCTTTAAGCGTCTTTCTTTTAAACTTTGGTTGATGCCACGGAAAATTAGACTTTTCCCCCGTGTGGGCGGCCCATGGAGATATTCAGGAAGGAGAGAAGCAACTTAGAACTGAGGAGAAACTTCCTGACAGTGAGAATAATGAATCAATGGAAGAGAAGTTGCCTCCAGAACTTGTGAATGCTCCAACACTGGAAGTCTTTAAGAAGATGTTGGATAACCATTTGTCTGAAATGGTGTAGGGTTCCCTGCCTAAGCAGGGGGTTGGACTAGAAGACCTCCAAGGTCCCTTCCAACTTAACAAAGTCTGTTGTCTCAATCATCTCTGCCTCGCAGTTTAATCTTCCATGGATTTTCTGTAGGACACGAGGCTTGATTTTGACAGTAATGTTAGGCATTATATCCAGGAAAATAAAATAAATCCCTGATGATCTATGTACTCACCAAGGGATCCACAAAATTATAAGGACAAGCAAGTCCTTTTGGATGTTTAGCTAAAACAGGATATGAGGANTGAAAACTTCAGTACTAATAATGTGCCATCTTCTTTTTAAGCCAAGTAAACACAATTAATTCCATTTCAGAAACTGAATCCTGAAGTACGGCATGTCGATTTGGAAATATTGTAGTCTTCGTATGGAATCCATTTCTTCAGATCTCTTTTTTTTTGGGGGGGGGGGATCAGCTTCTTGGAGGATGGAGCCACCCGCTACAACTTCGGAGATCTCCAACCATTTCAAGTTCCCTGATTTTCATGCCGATTTTAACCTCCCTCGGCGATCGGCTTTCTTTAAAACCGGCTACTTAGAGCTGCTTTTACTGCCTTTTGACGTGGATCCGTAGAACATTTGCAACTAGACACTTTAAATAAGTTATTTTACATGTCTGTTTCGGGGTGGGGGTGGGGGTGGGAGAGAGAAATGCACCCTATATATTTTACAACCCTCTTTCAAGTATTTTTAATCTGGTTTTGCAGAATCATCCCCGTTTGAAGACTGCGTTTCTCCTAGGCTCAATTTGAGGAATTCTAGTTTTGTAGTCTTTTTATCTGCTATTTCTTTTCCTTTTTTTTTTCCTTCTCTGAATTTTGGTGTCTGCAGGATTCCCCATTTTAGTTCTCCCTGTAGATGGTTTGAGATGATCACTTCCAACCTCTGGCTCAGTGTTACGACCTTGTAGCTACTCCTAGCAAGCTCCATAGCTTTGAACCACAAGATCTGGACAAATTTTGGGAGATTTCCCCCTCCTAACCGTGTACATAAAAGCAGCAGGTTTTAGAATCGTGGTACACGAGCGGTGCTTAAGATACCAGCCCGTGAGATAATTAAACGGCTGGGCTAAAGATTTGGAAGGTTTTTAATCTCATCTTCCAGCTGTTGACTTTGCGCAATCAAAAGGCCAAACCCGGAAAATCGCTTGTTATCATTTGGCTTTGTTCTAAAAATCTCCATTGTGTTGTTTTCCTTTGTGCAACGATGGATATTATTAATATTTTTGCGGGAGACGCCAGAAGGAACATCGGGAGGAACTTTCCAGATGTTCAGGCTTGTCCCTTGTCCTCCAAGCACAGTGGACTTCAAGGCTTTCCCAGACAAGCGTGAGAATTGTAATGGAGCACATCTGGAGGGAGGTTTTTCTCGTGGAAAGTGGGTCATGAATGCTAGCTCCTCACTGCTCTTCTCAAACCAATGTATTTGTTGGAGTACCCCGTTTCCCCGAAAATAAGACCTCCCCGATAAGCCTAACTGGGCCTTTGAGCACATGTGCTAAAATAAGCTCTCCTCCCGAAAATAAGCCCTCCCCAAAAATATTTCAACACAGCAGCAGCCATGAGGTGACCACGCTCACCGCCTCCTGCACCTCAAAAATAATAAAACCTCTCCCAAAATAAGGCCAATTTCGCTTATTTCGAGAATCAAAAGAAATTAAGACCCTGTCTTATTTTCGGGGAAACACGGTCGCATCTTAAAAGTAATTCCTGATAACTTAAAATACGTTTGATTTTGATTTTTTTAAATTAAAATCGTACTAAGATGACCCCAAACCGCACCTTAAGGAACGGTTTGGCTCCCATCCGGAACGTTGAATGTATTGAGAATTGGTTGAGTTTGCAATCAATGGCAGATGGAGGCCGAGGGTAGGAAATTTCTCTTCCCCGGGGAATAATCAGGACGTTACTGACCAATGTAGCAGCTGTTTAGGTTCCCCCTCTGAAGAAGAAGGAGAGAAGGGATGCCTGGGCATTACATGTGGGTGCGCTGGGGCAGCTTGGAAGAATGTTGAGATCCAAACCGCTAATGCTTAAGCTGGGGCAGATCATGCGCTAATTGGCTTTGAAAGGCTTCCCCCCCCCCCCTCTATAAATAGAAAGTCAGGATGTATGTGGAGATTCCCAGTCCTCCATCCAGGTCATGGTTATCCCAAAGGAGTTTTACAATACGATACAACACGATAGCAGAGTTGGAAGGGACCTTGGAGGTCTTCTAGTCCAACCCCCTGTCTAGGCAGGAAACCCTTTTTTTTCCCCAAGAGGCAACTGGACTTTCTGGTTTTTCTTTTGAAAACGTTTCGCTTCTCCTCCAAGAAGCTTCTTCAGCTCCGACTGGACGGTGGGGAATGGAAGGATTCATATTCCTTGCAGATAGCTGGTCATTTGAATTGAATTGAATTGAATTTATTAGGTTTCTATGCCGCCCAATCCCGAAGGACTCCGGGCGGCTTACAAAGAACATGAAAGAAGACAAACAAAATAAAAATCTTAGTATATTTAAGGATGAAGGATGTTTAAATAACTATAGTCAAATAAAAGTGGAGGTATGATGATGTCAATATAGTAAATATTTAAGATACTTGAATTAATATGAATTATATTTGATGACGATGGAAGAGATGCACAAAAGCCTTTTGTAACCAGCTGATACACCTTATACAATATGTAAAGAAGGAGGAGTTGTATGTTTGTTTTGAAAATAAATATTTTTTTTTTAAAAAATG